ATACGCAAGTACTTTCGACTGTACATTCAGTCATCTTCAGGCATGGAAATTATTTTGTTTTTGGTAAAATTCAGGTAGCATCCGAGACAAAAAAATATAATGCGAAACGAAATATGGTTTTTGGGGTGCTGGTGTTAATAAAATAGTGTTCGATGTAATATAAAAGAGTTATTAAGTATATATTAATAAATATACATATTTTTTCCTCACCGCTAACACGACTCGGAGTTTCATACAAAACGCAATCCTCAGGTACTGAGTAAAGATTGACCTTTACATAATTTAAATTTTAATAAAATATATCTTGTTAGAGCAATGCTAGTGTTGGATACCAACTGTAAGAAAAAGAACACTCTAACGCAATTCACTCCGCCAGAAATTTAGAAACGGCTTGCTGTTCGACTTTGTATTTGCCCTGGAAGCTGCAATACGAACATTTCAGAGTGTTTAGATGTCAATCTGAGGACAGTGTAGAGGATTTGGAAAGAGTTGGAGGAGTCTAATGGTGATTACGAAGGTGTTTGGAGTGATCACATGGCAGCGACGTTATGCCTTCATTCATCTTCCCAGAAGGCCTCAGACTCAACACGAAGGCCTATATCAAATGCCTTGAGGAGGTAGTGCTGCCCTGGGTCAAGAGGGTGGCTGCTGGAAGACTTATGTCTGGCACTACCGCATTGATTGTGGTGAAATGCTTATATATATGTATATATATATATATATATATATATGTGTGTGTGTGTGTGTGTGTGTGTGTGTGTGTGTGTGCGTGTGTTTGTGTGTGTGATTTATTTGTGTGTGTGCGTGTGTGTATACATATATGTATGCGTGTGTGTATGTGTGTACATATATGTGTGCGTGTGTGTATGTGTGTACATAAATATATATATATATATATATATATATGTGTGTGTATGTGTCCGTGTGTGTGTGTAAATATATATGCCTGTGTTTTTGCATGTGAGTATGGGTGAGAGTGAGAGAAAGTGCATTTATATCGGTGAGACGTTTGTGCGTGTGTACAAATAAATATATGTGTGTGAGTGTCTGCCTGTGTGTCCTTCGGTGTGTCTGTCTGTGTGCCAGTGTGTGTAATTTCTCAAGAATGAGGTTAGGTCTGGAGAGATTTGAAAGCTCAAATGTTTTCAATAAAGGGTCATAATTGCATAGGGTTTGGCTGCGATTAAGAGCATACTTTAAACAAATATCCGTATTCATTTAGTAGTTTTGTACTTACTTACTTATGACTTATATGTACAGTGTAAGCATGAATTTGATCTGCTTAATTATGTCGTCAGATGCTAGACGCTGCGCCCACGAAAAATGTATGCCTATCGCTACGCATAAGCGCACACGGCTCTCCAAATACGTAGAACAAGACAGTATAAGCAAAAGTTATGATGGGTGAGCAATAAATCATTTCCACTGTTGATCGTCATTTCCTTCCAAATAATTTACATTATGAAATATGCGCATATTTTTTCAGTAACCCTTACACGGTTTTTAAGCAAGCGCAATCTTTCCTCACATGGAATCTCAAAGCATTTCTATAAACAAATCATTAGCAATACATTTATGCATATAAAGTCTATATTCTGTAAGTTATGCTTGGGGCACGTGGCCGTGTGGTTAGAAGTTCCGCTTTTTGACCATGAGTTTCCGGGTTCGAATCTCACCATAGTCGATTTGCCTGAAAAGCATGCCATACGAGTGAAATTGGGTAGAAGTCGGGGGACGTCGATGCTGTGGGTCGTCGGTTGTGCTAGCACGAAGTCATAAGTCATCGTGACCGAGGGTTTTAAGTGTGCTGGCCTTGTTCAGATTGTTGATCATGCTATTGTTGTAACTAAGCATAGTTGCAGTATAAACCACAGGTGTGCTCTGTGGATGTTGAACAAACACAAAATGCGCCTGAGCAAGCGTCTGCAATAGGGATTATCTAGCAACCTTAGTAGACGGATCTCCTCGAATACGATTGGCCAGCTATTATTAATGCTTGCAATGTCCGCCAGGCGCAATTAGGTGTATCATAATGATTCCTAGGAAAATAAAATAAAATTGTTATTACAAATTTTACATTGCCTACAACTTATATGATCATCAACGCATTTATATTATACATACAACGTATATATTCTGTCAGTAACATTTGTAAGTTAAGCAACATCGAGCCTGGTCAGTTCTGATATGGGTAACCGCTTGGGAATACCAGGTGCTGTAAGCTAGGATGTGCGGCTGGTGTAATGCTTGGAATTGTTAATCGGAGAGCCGGCTACCTATTCTCGTTGGTTCGTTTTATTCATTTACACGCAAATAGCCTATGTATGAATCCACATCTTCTACCCCCAGCTATGGGTTAATTAGTAAGACTTGTCTCGTAAAACCATTATTAACTCCAAAACAAATTCTTGCAATCTAAAAATATTTTCTGGCTTTAAATAAACCTGCAAATGATTCATAAGCCGCAGAAAACGAATCTGCCAAAAAAAAAAGTATAATGCTTGCTTTAATTCCTATCCACGGACAATCCAGTTTTTCATGATTTTAAAAGCATCCCTATAATAAAAATTATTAGCTGTAAAATTAAGCGATACAGATATTAAACCTATTCTACCAATAATGCTTGCATTAATTCCTGACAATCACTTCCTTACTTATTTTCCACATATTCTTAATTATATTTTACATACAATATTACTATTCACTGATTAATATTTGTCATAATTCCTGACCACTGATAATCCCTGTTTTCTTGATTTTCAAAGGAATTCTATGATCAAATTATTAGCAATGTATTTACTATCTGTCTATATTTCTGAGATGAGGTATTATGTACATTGCTTACATTATTCGGACTATGTCAGTGTATCACTGTGTCACACTTTTTCAACTTTTCTCCTAGAAGCCATAGCCCAACATATTTTGAAATCAGGCCGACCCCGTGAGCAAATTAAAACCATTCCGGGTCGGATTTGGACCCACAATCCTGAAATTTTGGTTTCCCAAGTTTTCATTACTTCGATTGTTTTCGGTAATTTTTTTTTTTAAGTGACTTTTTCGACGTATGATAATTTTTATAACTTAGAAATAAATTTGGGATTAATTGAAATTAATTGCAAAATCAAGCAAAAGTCAGCCATGAAATAAAAATAATTGTTTTTACGGGAAGTAAGGAGGTTCCGTTCATCAAATCTTTAAATTAAGTGGCAACAGAAGAATTATCATTGAACTTTTAAAAGGTAAGCTTAAATATTAATGCAAAACTTAAATGCAGCGATCAATTTTGAGTTCTTCTGTAGTTTATTGTTGCCTATCACATCTAATCCTTACTCCCTATTAAATGCCGCCCGATAGGGCATATGTTAAGCTAACATATATATATATATATATATATATATATATATATATATATATATATATTGTGTATTTAGGCAGGAATCCTTCTTTTATGCACATTTCATTGAAAACGACAGACAAGGTGCTTTTATTTAGTTTTTTATACAATTTCTCATGCGATCTAATAATTTTTCTTTTCGTATGATAAATTATATAAAAACTGTATGAGATAGAAAAGATAGATAGATACATAGATTTTAATCATTTACCACTTGTAAGGTGATAATACGCCACTATGAGGAAAGAGAATGAGAGAACTTTAGTGAGGAGAGGGGGGAAAATGACAATAAAGGAACAGGATTCAGGAAGACAGAAGATAGCAGCAATTGACGCTTCATTCAAATTTTTGGAGATTGTAGTTGACAGGGAAGCAAAATATCGGAAGGGATTTCCACATGCGAGAAGTGCACGAAAAGAAACTGTTAGAAGAGAACTTGCGGTTGCATCTAGCTAGTTCAACAGTAAAATGGTGAGACTTAGTTGCCAATCCAGTAGCATACTTAAATATATGTAGTCGGGGAACCAGAGAGAAAAGCTCGTCCGAGCAGTTGGCATGAAAATATTTGTAGAAAAGACAGAGGGAAGCCACGTTACGTCGAGGGAGGGGGGAAATGACTGAAGTTGAGAAGCTTGGGGAGGATCGCATACAGTACAGACCGCTCGTCAGAGGTATTATATATGTATACATATATATATATATATATATATATATATATATATATATATATATTATTGTTTATATGCATTTACTTGGTTTCTTGTTTCGGATATATATATATATATATATATATATATATATATATATATATCCGAACCAATTAAATGCATATAAACTCGGCCAGACGACCGTTTCTCCTGCAAAGCGGGACGCTGGTTCGAATCCTGCCGGTGGGCATATTGTTTTAATTAAGTTTTCTCATCCAAAGGTCACTGGGATACAGAAAGATGCCTTCCAAAAACTAAGCAGTGTATGGAGAAACAGGAAAATTTAATTAGAAACAAAGAAAATACTTTTGAATTGTTACATAATACCATTGGACCTCAAGGCAGTAAAGGTTATACAATCTCGCTGATGAAGAAGAGACTTGAAGCAACAGAAATTTGGTTCTACAGCAGGATTCTGAGAATGCCATGTGAGCAATCACGACATTTTCAGGAAAGTGAAAACAAAAAGGAAACTTATATGTAAAACCAGAAAGTGATAGTTTAAATTTCTAGGACACATAATGAGAGAAGAAAGCTGAGAAAATTTGACACTTACAAGAGATATTGAAGGAACAAAGGGATAGAGAGGAAAATGTCACTTAAGCTACCTAACGATTTTTGTAAGTGGAAGGTAGAACAGGGATTAGGAGAGATACCAAAAAGACAAACTTTAATACGAACTACAAAAGACGGGAATCTGCGGACAGTTATGATCGAGATAATTAAAAGGCAGAATCTTGGCAAGAATAATAGCAAAATTTACGATGTAGAAATTGTTGTTTCACGAAAAGACGAATGAAAAAAATAACTCATGAATTACGAAAGAAATAATTGAAAGAAAGAATTCAAAAACAGACGAATGACAGGCGTACTTCCTTGAGACGAGGAATATGGCGCCAATGTCATCTGCTTTTGCCATATATGCCTTTCAAGCATTTCAGAGGTCGCCCCCTACACGTATTTGGCTATAAAACATCGCCATTTTCTGGCGCGTTCAGGAATCTCATGTCGAGTGGCATCGGCGCTGGCTAAGAAGTTTGGCTCGGTTCTAAGTGGTCGCTTGAGACACTATCCTGACCTTTGACCAGATTACCTAATACTTCTGGCATCTGTTCCGGTGAAACACTTATAAATTGTCAAGATTTTATTGGTTAACCAAAGTAAGTTTCAAAGAGAGAGAGACAGACAGACAGACAGACAGAGAGACCAGTCAGTCGTCCTACAATATTTATAACTTGTTGAAGCCATTATTATGAACATTATGGCCAATGTAGAATCACGTCATTAAGGCAAGAAGTTGTTTATGTTAAAGTATTTTAATGAAAAGCTTTTTCTACTTTTTTCTCTTTTGTAATTTGTTTGCAATTAGCCGATTATCTTGGACATAAGCAATATATATATATATATATATATCCCTCTCTCTCTACCTCACTCACTCCCTTTATCTTCATCTCTATTCCTCTCTCTCTCCCTCTCCCTCTCTCTCTCCCTCTCCCTCTCTCTCTGCCTCTCTGCCTCTCTTTCCCTTTCTCTCCCTCTCTCTTCCACTCTGTTCCTCTCTCTTTACCTGTCTCCCTTCCATTCTCTCTCCTTTTCTCTTCATCTCTCTCTTCCTCTCTCTCCTTCTCTCTTCCTCCCTCTCCCTCTCTCTTCCTCTCTCTCTACCTCTCTACGTCCCACTGTCTCCTTTCTCTCCATCTCTCTCCCTCTCTTTTCCTCTCTCTCTCCCTTTCTCTCCATCCCTCTTCCTCTCTAACTCTCTCTCCATCTCTCTCCCTCTCTTTTCCTCTCTCTCTCCATTTCTCTCCATCTCTTCCTCTCTAACTCTATCTCCATCCCCCTCTCTCTCCATCTCTCTCCCTTTCTTCCTCTCTCTCCCGCTCTCCCTCTCTCTACCTCTCTACTCCTTCTATCTTTCTCTCTCACACTTTCTATCGTCTCCAAAACAAAACTACTTTCCATAGAGAACCTTTTCTGCCTGTCATCAGCATGGATGGCGCTTGACTCCTAGAGAGCAACCCACTGCGCCTCCTTGGCTTCACGTTCTCAACTGACTTGGAGTGGAGAGACTACAGCGAATCAATAGCTGCATCTACTGCAAGGAAAGTTGGGTCACTCTGTCGTGCCAGAAGATCTTTCTCGTCAGAGGCTATGTTGAACATTTACAAATCTACCATTTGTCCGTGCATTGAATACTGATGAATAGGTGGTCCTGGTACTCCTGCTATTCATCTCGAGGTTCTTAACAAAATCCAAAGAAGGATATGCGATGTAATCAATCCTGACCTGGCATCTCGTCACTTTCTCACCGACCTGAGGTGGTGTCTCTCTGGCTTTTCTACAAAAGTTTTCATGGTAACAGTTCTGACGAGTTTTTCCCTTCTGTCCCGACTGCATGAATTTAAGCACGCTACTAGATTGGCATCTAGGTCCTCCGCATTTCTTTTCTTGCATTTCCCACCTGTAGAATTCCTTTCCGTTTCCTTGCTTCACTGATTACTACAATCTTCAAAAATGTAAATGCAACGTCAATCACCATCTTTTATCTTCTTAAATCCCGTTTATCTTTTGTTCTTCCCTCAATCCTCCCTATACTCAGTCTTTTCTCTCACTTTCACTGTAACCCCCTGCACACTGATGACATTTACGCCTTTCTTGGTGTAAAATGATAATATATACACATACACACACACACACACACACACACACACACACACATATATATATATATATATATATATATATATATATATATATAATGAACATTAAAGTCAACACTTAGAGGCGACAGTTATGTTTCATAGTTAGACGCAATCGTCAGGCCACCTGACGATTGCGTCTAAGTGTTGACTTCAATTTTCACTTTTATATTTACATACACTCTATCTCTGATATTGAGCACTTTATCCCATAAATATAGCACACCTTAAAACTATATTTCTTCATATATATATATATATATATATATATATATATATATATATATATATATATATATATATATATATATGTGTTTGTTTGATTGGGATCAAATATATATCAAATAGGAATCCTACAAAATGATAGGATAAAGAACAAAATAAGATACTTTTCCAAAATTTTACATGTTTCGCTCATATTTAAGCTTCATCAAATATTAAATATGGAGGGGAAAAGAAAATTCTGCTATTTTTATTTTTCTCTTTGTCCTTTCATTGGTAACGTAGGCTTCACGTGTATCTGTCTTCTCGGGTAGCGTTTGTATGAATAATTGTTGTGATTGTGTATCTATGCAGGTTTTGGTTAATAATATGTCCGCGTATGCATGTGTTTGTGTCTAGTCGGCATTTTATAAATTATGTTCTTTTCTTATTTTATTACGTAGAAAATACTTAGAAGGAATCCTGATAAACATTTCCCTATCAATAAACACTCTAAACACACGTTATTATGCCTTCGATTTTTATAAAATCCATACTTAAATAATCTAAGATCAGCATATCTACAACGACAACCAGTGCAACTTAATTTTTTTAATCCCACGCAAAACATCCCCAATCAACATACGGCACGACTAGTCAGAAGTAAAATGCTCATAGGATATTAAAACGTAAAACATGTTAAAAATCGCTACACAATTACAATTATGTTTCGACACTACAAATGTGTCTCCTCGGGCGATGTTAAACTACTGGTAAGTGAACGATTAATTTAATTTCAATTTAATACTTCCGCTTTTTTATTTATTAATTTCTCAAAGTAGTTCGGTATTTTTCATTAGTTTTTTTAAACGGTTATCTACCATTTTCTTAAAGGGCTTTTTATTTATCAACTACAAAATTTATGTAAGAAGCTGAACGAGCATATTACCGGTTGGCATTTTGTTAAATTACCGCCCTAACGCTTCCTCTATTACTTATTAGGAAAGTTGATCGCCTATACATCTATATATTCTATACATCTTACGAAATAATGTAACCACTTGTATCTGTCCATAAAGAAATTGTCTAGGATTTATATGCAGACAACCTCGTGTCTTGATCTATATTAAAAAAGATTGTCGTTGCCTCTGAATTTAGAGTAGGTTACATTGAATGGGTTAGTTACTGTAAAGTCCACAAGCCTATTTTTCTTCTGGCTTCTTTTCTCGAAAAGTATTCTGCTTTTGAAATTAAAATAATTGTTTATTCACCAGTAGTCTAACATGGCCCGAAGAGACACATTTGTAGTGTTGAAACATAACTGTAATTATGTAGCGATTTTAACATGTTTTTGTTTTAATATCCTAAAATAAATAATATTTAGCTCTACTCTGAATTGAGCCCATTTTTAAATTAAATATTACATACAGTGGAATTATACTCTATTTGTTCTCATTTTACCTGGATACATACATATATATATATATATATATATATATATATATATATATATATATATATATAGTCTGAAGTTGTTATACAAATCAAATGAACCTCAAGGACTCAAAAGCCTATGAACCAATATTTCTCAAATTTAATCACACCCATTTTCACCCTTGATAAAATATTTAATTTTTTTTTCCATTTGTAATGATTAGTTCTTGAGATATTTGGAATTTATGAAAATAGAATGACTGAAGTTATTATGCTGATTAAACTAATATGAGCTTAAGACCACTGAAATCTAATAAAAAACTTTTTTTTTTTTTGCCCATATGAAATGTTGAAACTTGGGTAAAGGGAAGGATCTAAAAACTGCTGAAAAATATAAAATAACAAAGTTATTGAGTGAGAGAATGTCCACATTAGAGATTTGCAGAGATCTCTGAACGATAAGGAAGGTTTGTGAAAATATATGTAAGTTGAGAACTCGAAGCAAAGGAAAAAAAAAACTTTAAGAAATTGCTTCCTCGAGATGAACGTAAACTAAAGCAAGCTATAATAAAACAATCACTTTTGACCACTGCTCAGATCTTTGAAAAGGATGGAATTGGGAGAGTCAAGAAGGACAAAAGATGTAGAATACTTTGTGAATTGGGATCTGTAAAAAAAAATCTCCGAGGCAACCTCCTCCTCCAAGCGTCAAAATTGGGCAAAGAAATACATGGAAATTGACTTTTATAAAGTAATTTTCACGGACGAATAAACCTGATGGATAGGCCAAAGGATGAATTTCATTCAATTCAGACGTGCCTGTGGCAGAAAGAAGGCAACAAGGAGGCGACAGTGTTGCGATATGGGCTGGGATATTCGACCAAACCATTATTGATGAAGCAGTTAAACTGAACAGTGCTAACTATTGTGATTTTATGAACAAGACTTCTTTGCATGGTAGAAGTCCCGCAGTTTTAAAGTAAAGTATGTATTTAAGCACAACAATTCTCCTTCTCATACATCTAAGCTTACTCGTGAATTATTTGAACATAAAAGATTTACAAGAGACAAGATAATGGAATGGCCACCAACAAATCCTGATCTGAATCTGATCGAAAATCTATGGTCAATTGTGAAGACGAAATTATATAAAAGTGACAAATAATATAACAGCAAAGCAGACCTAGGTGAACTAATTCAAACTAACATGTCAGAAATTGAAAAAAAATCAATAGATAATAGATTACTTGCTGCTATTGAGAAGAAGGTTCACTATATTAAAATGTAAATAATTTAAAGACTTATACGTTTTTATTATTTGTTTTTTTTATAGATGTTGATCAATTTTTGATGATTTTATTAACTTTTTATTGAAGTAAAATGTGATTATTTGGTTTTGCCTAATAACTTCAGACGGCAGGTTTTTTTTAATACATCAAGTAACTTGAATAAAAAATATTACTAAATTTTAAAATTTTAACTCAGGCTTTGTTTTGACATATGAACTGATTATTTAAAATTTGACAATTTTTTTTCAAACCAAATTTGAATTATTGAAGTTTATATGATTTGCTTAATAACTTCGACAGGGTGCAGTGCTCAATGTAAATTTACTGAGCATAAATATTATAAATTAACTGATTGCGTTTAAAACTCAGTAAATTTAAAAATATGTTATTCTAAAACCCGCTTGAAGATGAAACAGAACTAATGCTTTTAATTTAATTATAGAATTAAATTTGAAGATTTAGCTTCGGTTTTTGAAACATAGTAATTTCTGTGTAGCGAAGAAACCATCTTTTAAATCAGTTTATATATATATATATATATATATATATATAGTGGTACTAGAATATCTTGGAAAAATCTTAGGTATTTCAGCTTGTAGTTGAACAAACCAATACCCAAGGAAAAATGAGAAATAAAAAAAGAAAGAACTAAGAACATGAAATTGAGGGCGAAAACAATCGTCCACCAGTTTTACCCGGACGATCCGTTTAGGTGAAACCTAGTTAGGTTAACCTGGCTCTTTAGGGTATATATATATATATATATATATATATATATATATATATATATATCATTACGGTATGATTTTGGTTAATATTAGATACAGTAACAGGACTGCTCTGCCTAATTACTTCTGGCAATTGAAAAATACCGGCAACTCCTCTTCAGATATCTGGAATATTATAGAAATGGCAAAACCGTAGAGCGGTAAAGGAAATAAATGTAACCTGTTTGGATGAAAAAATCGTTATCTTAATACACTTAAACAACCTGGGATTATTAAACAAGAGAAATGAACTGATGGTTACACGTAGGCATAAAAACAAATATCTACTTCTAGATCCAGATTAATTATTAATACTTACCACGGTTTTGTTTTTAGTGCATGTTACGGTTTCTTACATATTATGATTTATTGTTAATCATGACTGTTTAATTTTTTAAATATTTCTATTTTTAATAAGATTAATAAGCTCTCTTTAATTAAATAATTGATAATCCACTGTCCTATAATTAAATAAAAATTATTATAAATAAATACAAATATTTTACGTTCATATGATAATCTCGATTATTTTAATTGCCAAATATGTTTTGAAAAATATCATTGTTTTTTTAAA